TGCGCGCCTGCGCTCTTGCCGGAGATCCCCATACCAAAGCCTTAAACCTTAAACCCTATATCAAAGCGTCTAGACAGTTCTTCTTAGCATTCTACCATTGGTTATGTGAGCTTGAACTGCCTGTCTTTTTAAATATTCTGTTATTGAAAACTCTTAGACCAATAATCGTTTCAGAAAACTAGCTCATTCAGTTCTTGCGCTTACGTATGCCCATACGTGCAACCGGGATTACTAAGTCTCACACATGGGTAACAAGTGCAACAGATCTCGCAGAAGTATTCGCCGTAAACCCGAACCCACAAAAAGGACACCGCGACGGAGCTTCAAGGGAACCCCGACAGGAAGCCCTTTATAATGGAACCCTTACAGAAGGCTTTAAAGGAAGTCCCTTCCCAAGGAATCGAATTCAAGGAATCCGGAAGCGCTCTGAGACGTATTGGATGTCAAAGAAAAGCAGGCTTCTAAGAGCTTTTAAGCCGTAAAGTTTTAAAGGGTTAAACCCTAAACCCTAAGGAACCCTGAACCCTAAACCCGAAAAGCCCAACACCCGAAGCCCTACACCCTAAACCCCCGAGGAACCTCATAGAAGCCCCTCATAGAAGGCAGGTTTTTTGGGGTCAACTTGAACCCTGGGAGCCTTTAAGGGTTCCTTTAAGGGTTGTTCCTTTAAGGGTTGTTCCTTTAAGGGCTCCTCTAAAGGTTCCTCCAGCTCTGAGGGTTCCTTTAAGGGTTGCTCTATTAATAAGGGTTGCTCGAAGGGTTCCTTTACGGGTTCCTCTAAGGGTTCCTTTAAGGGTTGCTCTATTAACGGGACCTCTAAGGGTTGCTTTAAGGGTTCCTCGAAGACTCTAAGGGTTCCTTTAAGGGTTCCTTTAAGGGTTCCTTTAAGGGTTCCTTTAAGGGTTCCTTAAAGTAGAGATCTCTCAACCCCATTCCCTAAGCCCGAGGCATTCCTGGAACCCCTCAGGCCTTATCGCCTCAATAATTTAGAATAAGATCATAGCAGGGTTTGGGGGATTTTAGGTTTTAGAGGTTTAGGGGTTTAGGGCTTAGGGTTTAGGGTATAGGGGTTTAGGAGTTTAGGGGTTTAGGGGTTTAGGATGGTTTAGGGTTTAGGGTTCAAAGAAGGGCTCCCAGTGTATGGAGCCCCTGCAGGCCCTTATAAGCAGAGGTGCTCTGAAGCCTGAACCCTCCAAACCCTAAAAACCCTAAACCCTCAGGAATTCTCAACCCGAAAAGACCTGGTTTAAGCAGAGGCGCTCTCCTCCCTCCTGGGCCATGGCCGCGTAGACGCGGCCGGCGATCTCCGTCTCAGCCATCCCACACCGGGCTGCCTGGCTCGGAGTCAGCTTTTAAGGGGCTTAATATTCAGAGTAGGGTTTAGGGTTTAGGGTTTAGGGTTTAGGGTTTAGGGTTTTAAGGGGCCTGAATATTCAGAGTAGGGTTTAGGGTTTAGGGTTTAGGGTTTTAAGGGGCTTAATATTCAGAGTAGGGTTTTGGGAATAAGGTGGAGAAGGGCCTCTGGCAAAAAAATAGCATTTATGCTCTCTGTTAATCATAGCTGCGCTAGAAAGCGAGTTGCCCAACCACTCGCGCTACAGACGAGAGGACTCCGTGCTTGGAGCAGGGTTCTTTGGCACTGTAGGGGCTTTGATAATTAGAATACGCTTCCTCTGATGGGTTCTACAACAAGGGTTGCAAAATGAGAGCGTTTAGGGTTTAGGGTCTGGTGTAGAGGGAGTCTTTCCTTGAAGGGATCCTGTGAGTTTGCTGTATGGGTTCTACCAGGAAGCTGTTGAAGAACCTCTCAAGGAACCAAGCCCTACACCCTAAACCCAAACCCCAAGCCCTAAACCCTAAAACCCTGAAACCCTAAACCCTGAAACCCTAAACCCTAAAACCCTAAACCCCAACCCTAAAACCCTAAGCCCTGAAACCCTGAAACCCTAAACCCTAAAACCCTAAAACCTGAAACCCTGAAGCCCTAAACCCTAAACCCTGAAACCCTGAAACCCTAAACCCCAAACCCTAAACCCCTAAGGGAACCAAGCCCCAAACCCCTTAACCCCCAAAGGAACCTTAAGGAGCCCAGTTAAGGAACCCCTGAGAGTTCTATCAGACATTTGGGGTTTTAGGACCCCTGAGCTTGGGCTTAGGGTTTAGGGTTTAGGGTTTAGGGTTTAGGGTTTAGGGATTTGGGGTTTTAGGACACCTGAGTTTGGGTTTAGGGTTTAGGGATTAGGGTTTTGGGGTTTTAGGACACCTGAGTTTGGGTCAAGGTAAGCGAGGGTGGTTCCAACAAAGCTCTTTAAGGCTTTAAGGCTCTTTAAGGCTTTAAGGGGTTTAGGGTTTAGGGTTTAGGGTTCTAGCTCTGTTATAAATCCTGAACCCGGTAATAAACCCTAAACCCTGGAACACACCCTAAACCCTATAAAATAATCCCTAAACCCTCTAGTAATCCCAAAGCCCTATCAGAAACCCTCAGCCCAAAATCCTTTGCTGTAACCGTTTGGGACTGTGGAGATTCTGGGAAGGTTGGGGGCTTGGGCGTCTAGGGCGTTTACTGGGCTCTTGTTAAGGGTTCTATTAGGGTTTCGGTTTAGGGTTTAGGGTTTAAGGTTTAGGGTTTAGTAGGGTTTAGGGTTTAGGGTCTAATTATATATATATATATAGTAAGGAAACATATTTATTTACTGTAGATCCCTATTATAGTAACTCAAACTAGATACCTTAATATACAACCCAGCTTAGGGTTGAAGAGGGTCCATAGGGCTTTGCAGATAAGGAAACCCAACAATCAAAAGAGCCAAAGGGTTTAGGGTTTAGGGTTATAGTGACTTTACAACGGTGGAAAGGGCGCTGTATGTTTTCAGGGTTTTGTAGGGCCTACGTAGGCAGGATGTAGTTTAGAATGCATGCTTGGATATGGAATGTGGTGTGCCAGGGCTCAGTAAAGTTTATCCGTCTCACGAGAGTTTATGAAACCACATCCAACACCGTGAGCCAACACCTTGAAACCCAATCCCTAACATAGAAGCCTAAATAATTACCCATATTATTCCTTTTAATATAAGGTTCCTTATTATAGTTATACTATAAAGGAGCCCAAAACCCTACTCTAACTCTTCAGCGCCGTACATTGCACCAGGTCCGGGAGTAGGGTTGATAAGGCTGAGGGCGGCCTGGCCAGCTCGCATTCCGGCAGCGCAGATCTCTGCCGCACCTCAACACCAATCCCTCACACATCCCCAAACGGTCCAAGTTATAGTATGGTATATACATTTGGGGCCCAAATACCTACAAAGTAGCTACCATATTACTACTTGGACCCTTTGGGCAAGGATTCAGGGTGTAGCATTTTGCGATTGGAGCTTTAGGCAAAACAACTTGTCATACTCGCGACAAGTGTTTTTTGTTATTGCGATTCGCAGTTCCTATCTTGTCCCTTCTTGCGATGATCCGAATTCTGATATCATGGCTATGCAATACTATGCGACTGTAAGCTGAAGCAGAACTTGTAGTCGAAAGTATCCCCAGAACAAAACCCACCCATCCCTCACCAGCCTTCCAAGGGACCTAAAGCCTAGTTTCTAGCCCTAACCAGAAATATATCAATCGCTAGAAACACCTCGTGCCATACAACCCCGGGAAGCCCAAGAGAACATTGTAAAAAACGTAAAACACCCCTCTATAAGTAGGAGCCCTAAAAGCCCCTTCTTGTGGAGGGGTTCCACGAGTGGCGCCCTGGTTGCTGGGGTGCAGACGGCGCAGCACCGCCAACTCTGCCGCACTCTTCACCAGCCGCTGTTCCGGAACCAGCTGGGATGCGTCACAGAGCGTCCAACCAGCCAGCTTTGCCTGGGGCTTCGGCGACCTAAATCGTCTAGAGTCCCCAGTACTGGCCCAGTAACCCCATACCAAAAGCAAGGACATTCCTTCCCATAGGCCCCATAGTAGTTCCTTTCTGGGGTTACCTTATAGGATTCTATATATAAGCCCCAACAAGGAACTACTTTAGGGACTATGGGTTCGTCCGCTTACCCAGGCAAGGAAACGCCAAAATCCAAAGGGTCGAAGTGTACGCGCGGCAGGGTCCCAGATACCCATAGGCCCGCTAGTAGTTCCTTTTTGGGGTTCATATTTAGAATCCTATTAGGTAATCCCAAAAAGGAACTACCATGGGGCCTATGGGTAGTAGACAAACTCAACCGAAAAAGCTTAAGCTCGGAGCCCTAAACCGACCAAGCCCTAAGCTTAACCCGATATGTAAGTGGTTGGATCCTGGGTTTAGGGTTTGTGGGTATGTCCAAGGGATGCTCGAAACTCCTTAACCCTTTGAAGCCATCTCGATTCCTATACAACACACTTCCCTTAGGTGTGCTTTTCTTAACTAAGGCTGAAGGAAAACTTAAGGAACCCCTGTGCAATCCCATGAAACATGATCCTTTTGGTGCCCTTAACGTTCATCCTCTGGGTGTTTGGTAGGGGTTCTTCTGTAGCCCTATTCAACACTAGTCCTTTGGTCCCTTTTTCAATCAACCTCAGCCTTATAGACCCCTATAAACCAAAAAAAAACACCCACCCCTAAACGCCCAAAGGCCTAAACCCCTGCAAACCCTAAAACCCCGAACCTTAAACCCCTAGGCCGTAACTCCCTGAACCCAAACCCTGAAACAACAGCCTAAAGCCCTCACACCGGGCCTCCAGGCGGCGCAGGTGCCTCGCGAAGAGGCGCCGAGATTGCAGCTCCAGTCCCAAACGACAGCTCTGACTGAGTGAACCAAGCACTTCCTTGGCTTTTTCTGTCTGGTGCTTAGTAGGGAATGGAGGAATGGATCCCTATGATAGTCCCTTAAGGTCCCTTATAGTAGTCCCTATAACCCATTCCCCCATTCCCTACTAAGCACCAGACAGTTTTGTTCTCTTGGGGTTGGTGTTCAAGCTTAATGTTTAGGATTTAGCACGTCCTTCCTTTTCTGGATTGAGGGTGTGTGGGTACTCCATATGGGTAGTCTCTAAACTAGGGTCCCTTTTAATAGGTCCCCAATATAGTACTGCACCCTTATAAAAAAGACCCTAAAAGGGACCCTAATTTAGAGAACTGCCCATATACCCCGAGCCTCCCAGCAGGGTTTAGCCTCTAGCGGCTCCTGCGTTCGAGGGACTTCGGGGGGGGTTTAGGGTTTAGGGTTTAGGGTCAAGCGCAACAAAGGCCTACCCATACTCCCCATAGTAGTTCCTTTTTGGGGGTTCATATATAGAATCCTATACTATAAGGTAACCCCAAAAAAGAACTACTATGGGGCCTATGGGTAGTCTCCATTTGTAGTTCCTGTTTGGGGTTACCTGATAGGATCCTAAAGACAAAACTGCTTAAACCAAAAGAAGGAACGACAATGGAGACTATAGAATAATTCACAGGTAAGTACGAGGGATAACATCGACCATATGCGTGCTTTATTGTTTGTCAGGCATCGCACACCCTGTCGATACCACTCTCGAAATCGGCGTAAGCATGCAGGTTTTTCTGGCGTAGGTTGCTGCGGTAAGTGGCATTTGTCACTTCCAAGAGACGGGTCACCAAGCTGGGCTCACCAGCAGCGGGTATGATCAACGCCTGGATCTCAGGCTCCCCAACTGTCTGAAACCCTGTCAGGTAGAAAATATTCTCAGGCTCCGTAACCAGGAGGAGGTTCAGCTGCCTTAGCAACAAATGCCCCTAAACCCTAAACCCCAAACCCTGAACCCTAAACCCTAAACTCGGAACCCTACACCCCAAGCCGCCTACTCAGATCAAAATGCTCTTACTTTGTGTCGGGAGTCTGCTTTCCCATTCCTTCTTGGGTCTGTTTCAACCGCTTGGCATACTCCTCAGGCGAAAACGGCAAGGGATGTCGGAAGCTAGGCATTGGAGGCACACTGGCCATGTCTTCCTGCAAGACCAGGGGGTAGGCTAACTACCGACATCACCTACCTTGAGCTGCTGAGCCTGCCGGCGAGACTTGAAACATCGGAACGACGACAATATCGATGAAGCTATGCAGAAAACCCAGGAGAGAGCAAGAAGAGAAAGAAAACCTGCACCTTAAAGGCCGAAGTCAAAAATCAAACCCCGAAATCCTTTGGAAACCACAGAAGACCGTGACTGCTCGCACTTGGGCTGCTTCGAGGTAGAGGGTGAACTGGACCGATTGAGCTGTCACACACGACTTGAAGGATTTAGGACGATTTAGGGTTTAGGGTTTATAGGGTGTAGGAACCTAACACCTCCTACTGTAACTCCCTGCCTTGCAACCGGTAATGCGCCTTTCGTAATCGCACCTGCCGTACCTGCGATGCCCCCATGTATACGCCCCGACTCCCGTAAACCCGAAAACCTTAAATCCTAAACCCCTAAACACTACACCCCCAAAACCCGAAACCCTACACCCGTAAACCCGTAAACCCCCAAACCCAAAACCCTAAACCCCCAAACGCGAAACCCTAAACACGCAAACCCGAAACCCTAAACCCCTAAACCCCTAAACCCGAAACCCTAAACCCCCAAACCCTAAACCCCGAAACCGTAAACCCCTAAACCCCTAAACCCGAAACCCCTAAACCCGTAACCCTAAACCCTAAACCCCGAAACCCCTATAAACCCGAAAGCCAAAACCCCTAGACCCGAAACCCGAAACCCCGAAACCGTAAACCCCTAAACCCCTAAACCCGAAACACCTAAACCCGTAACCCTAAACCCTAAACCCCCAAACCCCGAAACCCTAAACCCTAAACCCTAAACCCCTAAAACCCTAAACCCTAAACCCAAAACCCCTGAACCCCTAAAAAAACCCTAAACCCAAAACCCCTGAACCCCTAAAACCGAAACCCTAAACCCCGAAACCCGAAACCCCTGTAACCATAAGCCCTAAACCCGAAACCCCTATACC